AAAAAAAAAAAAAAAAAAAAAAAAAAAAAAAAAAAAGAAGAGAGAAAGGGAGAAGAAAAAAAACCCACACGCACGCACTTTGCACTGACCACCCTCGTGTGCTCCCTCTCTACAATACCATAACTTCCCCCTAAAGCATTTCCCTTTCAAAACAGGGTGTTAAATGATTTCCATGAAGGGGACATCATCATCATCATCACCACCATCACAGGCAAAAAGGCAAAAAGCATCACATCGCAGTGTTCTACCACAACGCTCCCCAGAGACTGGGCGGGATCCCACATTCGAGGGTAGAAAGAGAGATGGAGCTGCCTTTATAAACCCACAAGTCCTTCCACACCTGGAGGAGGAGTGAGGAGAAGGCACCTCCCATGGCTGTCGCACAGGACGGTGCAGCCAGGCCTGGGGGATGGCAAAGATGGGGTGGTGAACCAGCAGCACCCAGGAGGACAAATCCAGTTCCCTTCCCACACAGCTCGGGAAATGTCAACCCCAGGCAGCCCATTTATACTTCACTTGCTAGCCATCAGCTACCTGCTTTCCCCCAAGGCTGATTTTTGTCAGGAGAGATACAGGCCAGAAGGAACTTGTAACCGTTACCTGCTGAGCAGCTTATGTGGTTTGCTTCGTTATGCCAAGCAGCCCGTTGCCTTTCTAAGAGATTCCTTCAGGCAGAGTCTCATCATTACCTCCAACCACTGGAAACTGTTTTTAATGCTGCTCTTAGAGCATCTGGTTTGCACTTTAGGGCATGCACATGTGCCCCCCCCCCTCACAGCCATTACTCCCCTCTTCTCTTAGATCTCTCCAAGTATATTCAAGTTCCTTCAGGTCTTCTTTAATTTCTTGGCTTACCCTTGGCTTGTCTGCCCCTGCTGTCCTTCAAGCAACAGCCAGAACAAAGCAACAGCCCTCGGTAGTGCAAGGTCTAAGGGGGTGGATGGAACATTTTCAGCCATTGCCCTGACAAGTGACCGAGGGGCTGCCAGCACGGCTTCAGGAAGCTGACAGAGATCAGAAGATAGCTTGGCTATGCATGTGGGGAGGACAGGGCCTCAGCACCTCCCACACACTCCTGAAAACCACCCGCTCAGATTAAAGCTGCCTTTAACTCACTGAACTCGCCAGCAGCAGAAACAGTCCTTCCCCTGTCGGGTCAGGAAGGGCACAGTTGACCTTCCCTCTAGCAGGAGCTGTGTTTTGCGCCAGCACATGCAAATCTGGATCCACATCCACACACACAAAAAAGCATCTCCTCGATTGGGACCTTGATACAAGCCTTAAGACCAGCACTCACAACAAAAGGGTTATACAAAAAAAAAAACCAAAACAAAACTAAAACACCAGTATACTCTGTTCCCTACATCAAAGAACGTGAATTCTTGGAAAAACCATTGATACCTTTTGCTGTGACATGCTGCTTCAGTTAACAGACATCAAAAAAGCCAAACCACCATAAAAAAAGAGGAATTGCTCTTTACTCTTGTATCTTCTTGCACAACAATTTAAATAAATAATAGTGCTTGCACAGGTCAGATTCATCCTGGAGGAAGAACAAACTCGAGTAACATTTCAGGACCATTAATCTCCGAGATCTCACCAAGAGCAAGCAGCCAGACAGCTTAAAAATATATTTAGTCCACAAATGCATATTAACGTCATTTGCTGATTCACAGCTGAGCCAGTCGCATGGAGCCCAAATGCCACTTCTGCTTTCCCAGCCTGGGCTTCAAATAAAAAAAAAAAAAGTTGAAACAGTTGCATATCAAGTTGCTTAACTTATCTCAAAGCCTTCCGCAATGCAACTATTAGATGCGGATCTGTCTGGGCTGGAAACTACAGGTCTGGTCTGTAGACCTAAGGTTTAGGAGCCTGATCTGAGTTTTAAAGACGAGGGATTCCCATGTGCTAGGTCAGGCTCACGCACAGCTTTCCAGCGTGGTCTCAAAGCAGCCACCACACACCTGCGTCCTCCTGCGCCCAGCGCCGAGGACACGCTCCCGCCCCACCACGGCATGGCAGCATCTGCTCCACTTCACCAGGCACTGCCGGAGTTGAAAGCACCAAGTATGAACAGCCAGAGCCATCCGCCTCCCCGGGATAAGCTACAATTCAGTGTTTGTAACACACGTACACAGATGCAGCTGTCTTGCACACTCAGTAGATGCCACTGCTTGGTGTCGCCCAAATATGATTGCAATGTGCTACAAAGCTGAATCTTAGTTTTCTTTTCTTGACTATCGCTCTTTTTCCCAGTATTAATACAGTCAAGACCAGATCCTAAACGAAACAGACTCCGCAGGCTTACAACAAAATTAACAGTGAAAATCATTACTCCTTTCAAAATTACCTCTTGAAATCAACCGAAGAAAAACATTTGATGATTTGATAGATATAAACCCATGTCAAGAATTTGTGCGAATGGTTTGGGGCAGAATTAAAGACTGATTAAGAATGTAGTGGGTTAAGTAAATTTTTTTTTTTTTTTAAAAAAGGGAAATTTCAAGTGTTTCTTCCTCTCCTGTGATACACAGTATGATGATTTAAAAGCCAAAAGATTTTCTCCCTAAATCACCTATTCAAATCTGTATGACGGAAATATATTTAAATATAAAATTTTAATCTTGCTTTGCATTTGAACTTTTAAACGCTTTTCCAGGAAGGCAAGTGCCTCATTAGTCCTTTTAGCCATTCAACCATACTGATCTGCAAATAAACGAGAATCCTCACATTACCTTTCTTTTTTAAAGGATTAATTATATCCACATAGTTTTTTAACCTAATAAACCTCCAGTCAGACTGAGTCTTGCTACTGTTTTAAGTGTTATACAACAATTCAGTCCTCATTGACTGCATCAGGATTTGTCAAAGTCCATTCTACATTTGTTTTCACAAGGTAGGCAAGTTTCTATAGATGATGGATATTCTAGAAAACATCCACCATAACCTGTACTTAAGTAAATAAATTTTTAAAAACAGACAGACCAGAGCCGTGCTCTGTTTCACTGTTTCAGAGAGCAGAGCGCAGTTCTCAGAATTAGCAGGGGCCTGGACCCAAGATTTCAGAAAGAGTTTCAGTATGTGGTTCAACTCATTGTGGGGGCAACCTTGAAAGCCTCACTGGGTAGCTAGACACACCTACAAGAGCTGACATAAAAATCTCCTCAGTTTTTAAGAAAAGCAATCTATCCTCCTACCTGCGTCATTCTTTTTTTGTTTCAGGGTTGGATATTTTTTCCTTTTTTGTAGATTGGGGAAGGGTGACAAAACTTCTCAGTTTCAATGACAGCAGGACTGAAATTATTATTCCAAACAGAACAATACAGTTCCATTCATACTTGCTAAAAGTATCGAAATCAAAAGTGATTAAAAGCAAAAACATTTCTGAACAACAGAAACTGAAAGTGCTGCCTTTGGAAAACCATAAACACCAGAATTTTCTCTATAGTAAACACTGAGACCCACAGATAATTAATGTAGTCTAGGACATTATCACATACTTAGAAAACTTGTTTTCTGGAAAAAATCATACACAATTCACCTTAACTGTATTTCCAAGTCATCATTTAAAGTCACTCCAGTTTGCAGAGGCTTCACTGATGCTATTCTTAATTTCCTTATTTTTAGGTGCGAGAACAGATTACCAGTGCAAAATTTAAATTTAAAGATTGTCAGGTTTAAGCCTCTTTTAGATTGATAATAATTAACCCTGCCTGCATTTCAGAAACACTTTGTGATAAGCGGTAATGGAATAGACAGTTAAAACTGCTTCCGTTTTAAAATTATACCACCGAAGCGCCGAAGACTTCAGCATTATTAAACAAGGAACGGATTTGTCCAAAGCAAACCAGGAAAAAGCAACCCAACAAAAACACTGAGAAATGTGAGTTAATGGAAGACTTGCCAGAAGGCTAGAAGATGATTTTTTTATTATGGGTGATTTGCAAAGATGAACATTACAAACTTCCTCCCTTCCTCGAAAGGCTTTCAGGGAAGCATCTCTCCATGGAAGTCTCTGGGCATCGGAGCAGCTCTGAACCAAACCCATGCAAAGATCACATCTGGCTTTGGAGCAGCACCACAGTTCATCACTGAGGCACATGTATTAGTCGCCACTAGTAGACAGATTTACATGCAAATGCATTTTGCAAGTAGGAAGAAGCTCATTTTTAGTCCAAGGGATGAAAACATTACATTACACAAAAGAGAACTGCCATTTACCTTTCCATGGAGGATGATTAATTATAAGATGCTTTCAGCTGGCTTCTGAAGGCTTCTCTGCTTAACTGATGTGTTGCATTCTGCTTTTCAGACCTTCCTCCTAAGAGGTACCATCACTGCTACCACTAAAACACATTATATTGGTGGGACAGGCAGAGTTGCCACCTCGCTGTTACCTGACCAAACACACTTGGTGACGACCACAGAGCAGAACACAGTGGCCTCACCCCCCCGAGATCAGAGTCCTGTCGAGCAAGGGCAAAGGCAACAGAAAGTGAGATTCACATGCTGTTTCTGCGAAGTCAGAGACGCTGACAGCACTATCATGCAGAAATAATTGAACTAGCAAAATTGTTCCTAGTGAACACCACAGCTGTTTTAGCTCAGCCTACTGCTTTTGCACGATCTGCATTAACAAACACTAAGCTCTAACAAGTGTCAGCTGTGGTCAAACACTGTATGCCCACGGTTTGGAAGCATCAGTTTCAGACCCCAGATAGTCACAAGAGTCCCTTTATCCTCCGAGAAGGTGTTTTCTGTTCTCAGATCAGTTGGTCACCCTAAAACAATAAAGGGATATAAGTGACCAACTAAGAAACACCAAACCAAAGAGAAATAAATTCAAAATCCCAAAGAACCGTGTAATCAGAAGAACAGGCTCCAGGACGTGCCAGGAAATTAATCAACACACAAGACAAATGCAGTAGTTAACTAGAAAATAAGAGCAGCTCAGAAAGGCTCCTAGACCATTTTCCCCTGCCTAATGCTTGTAACATCTGGACCTTCCGAAGTGCCTCTGGGGTTACGTTCCCTAGGGAGCACACGGTCCTGGCCTCAGTGTAAGCAGCCAGACCCAAGGGGAAGGGAGAGAAAGCAAACAGCACGCTGTTTCCAGAAAGCTGCCTGGGCTCCGTTCCTTGCTGTAGCTATAACCAGCTTTTCATTTACAAAGTCTTCTCCCTCCTTTCTTAAAAGTCATTTTCCCTTATACAAAATGGGAAGCTGGGGTGTGAAGAACCCACTGCTCTGATTAGGCTGCAAGAAAAATACATTAAAACAAACAAACTACGCTCTCTGCACCCTTACACAAGATTTTTATGAACCTCACATCAGTCTACGTCAAGTGGGAAGAGAACACATTTAACACTTCACAACAAGAGTGGCAACCTGTTTCCCATGCCCTGTGGGCCACCTCACCTTCCCGGACAGAGGAGATGACCTCCCGCCTCCACAGTGGGATCCCAGGAACAGCAAACAGCAGCGTTTGCTCCACGCTGGCATGGTATTGTTTTGAGGTGGGTAGTTATAAATTCGGATCTTAAAACGCAGCTTTTATAAGCATCTATATAGAGACAAGTTTCAAACTCCCCTCTGAGAGAAGTATAACCTAACAAGATTTTTTTTTTTTTTTCTCAAGAGCACAAAAGTGGAGGAGGGGGGAAAAAAAAAAAAAAAAAGCTGCCTCTTAGTGGGTTCAGCACCTGTGTATGCTAAAGCACTTCATGTTTTATGCATGAAATGCTATCACCCCTGTGAAGATCTCTAAGTGAGTCAGACAGACAGGGTCCCTCCTGCCTGCTTTTAGGAAAACCTTTTTTTAAAAAATTATTTTAATTCAACCATTTGATTTATATTACTTTCCAGTCATTTCTAGCTAGATATATTTCAAAGAACTCTACACCAGCTTCCACTTTGCCCCTTCCCATATAAATGTGGCAATTAGCACAGAAAAATTAGTCAACTCTGCAGTATTTCACCTTCAATAAAGCAGCTCAAGAAATAATACACCATTTAATCGGTACTTGACAGCCAGGAACGAAACACAGTGTCTCAGTAACATGCTTAAAGAGGGTTTGAAATCCATTCATAGACCTTGATGGAAGCTCGTCCTTGTCAACAAACCCCACAATCCATAATAATGCTCAGAATTGTGCTTTTATCCTCTGTTTTATCAGAGCTCATCTGCTGATCAATGAGGAGTCCCATGGAATAGCACTCTGAATTTCAATGTTAACACAGCAGTACTATGATAATGATTGAAAATATTTACATATTGCCTCATTGATCGTGGGGTGTTCTTTTCCAACCATCTGGCTACTGGGCACTAATATTATTTTATTTTATTTTTAGGGCTTTAAATAGTTGTAAAGCAGGTTATTTGAACATCTTTACAGGTAACATCCAGCATTCCACTTGAATCAGGTTCTCCCATTATTTTTAACCCAGAACACTAGCAAAAGCATTAATCAATTTTATCCCATTTCAGGGAGGGGGAAAAAAATAATTTTCTTAACAAGGACAAAACCAAGCAAACTCAACAAACACCTGCTCTGTGCTTATCAGAATGATGTGCCGATTCAAGGTCTCATTTTTAATGTGACTCAAGGGTGTCACCATTTTGACAACAGATGAGTGAAATGGAAATATGTCACTCGCTCTGCACTCGTTGCCAGCCTCCAGATAAAGAAACCCTGTAAGGGCTGTTTTTTCCACCTCCAGATGGAATACCTTATGATAACTGCAATGCTAAGCCCCTGGGCTCTGTAGTGTGTGCCTGTGTTTTTACTGCCTTTAGTAACTGCTCAAGTTATCCAAGCTAGGCAGCTCAGGCCAGCTGCTGCCATACAGACTGCAAGGATAAAGCTTAAACAAGCACCAATTAGTCTCCTCTGCCTTCCCCCGGCTGAGTCTGTGCGCCCAAAGACTCACCCCGCGCACCCCGGCTGGCACCTGCAGTGCCTGCACCTGCGCCCAGCTGGGCATCCCTCACCCAGCTGCAACCCCTGACACTCAACAGGTCCAGAGGTACCCACCCGGGCTACAGAAAGCAAGAAACTGTGATGGAAAATGAGCATTTAACCTCCAGAAAACCCAAACAAAAGCAAAAAGCACCTGGCTGCAAGGTGCCCTAACTCCAACAGGTTGCACTCCCCCAGCACAGCACAAAAGAGTTTTATTTCACTCTTGCCTCGCTAGCAGCAGGTTTCCATGTAAAAATAAATTTTTAAAAAGGCTTTGAAAAAGCTTATCCCCATGCATTCTTCTAAAAAGTTTAAGAGCAAGTTAAATAAAATATGCAGGAAAGACTGACATCTACAAGATCTATAGGTTTGCTGTAAGAGACCTCTGCAGGATACTTGACAGGAATATTTAAAAGTTGGTTCTCAAACAGTTGACAAACTGATTTCAAGGGGGGTTTTAGTGGCTTCAAACCTGTTTATAATCAGAAGCTGACTCTCCTAGCTGCTGGTACCATAAACTTGATTTAGGAAGAATGGGAGGTCTAAAAGTCAAATTACATTCAGCATTTAAACCAGGAATCTCACAGTTTAGCTGATGATTTCTGTATCAAAGCTTAAGATAAAACATTACCTCTTTTTTTTTTTTTTCAGTTCTACTTCAATAACAAGGAATAAAACACAAAATCTGTCAAATGACATACAGACAAGACTACAGAGCTGGGGGGAAAAAAAAAAAAAGTGCTCTAACATATGCTCCATTAGACAATGAAATATCCCCTTGACATCAAGTTCCTTTTTTCTGCTGGGGCACCCACACGAAGGAGGAGGACAGAAGGAGGCTCCTTCCCCTCCATCCTCTCCACCCAGATGTTTTTGCAGACATGATAGAGAAGATCTGGCTCTTGACCTAATGAGGTCCAATGAAGGCCAGGCACAGAAAGAGAAGGAACTATGAAACATAGGAAGCAGTTTTCTTTACAGCTTTGCATAAATAATTACTGCTGTTAGAAATCAGTTTATAAGACTTCGTAACTCTGAAAAGTTTTACTATTCAGTCTCCTCCCCCCCCACCCCAACACTGTGATGCTACACTTCCAGTGCTACTACTTCTCTGAGCAGAGCATCAAGCAGGGATACAAAGGGCACACCCTCAGCATGGCAAGTCAAACTGTCTCTGGCTTTTCTAAACAAAATGACAGATTAAAAGTGAGAAGCCAGAGCAACACACAGAAGCTGTACTACAAAGTTTAATCCTTCAAGTAGGCTTGCCCAAGTATGCTCTTCCCTCTCACAGAGGTAGTGTGTTAGGTAAATATGCCTTTTTGAAAAGCCTATTTATAGGCATTAAATGTAAGCAAAAATCATTAGAAATTGTTCTGTAGTCCCAAAACAGACAGAAGACGCATGGTGTCCCTGCTAAACACATTTTTGAGGATATTTGATGGAAGATGTTTACCATCTGTTTAAGTTAGAACCTGGAACGGTATTTTACAATCCAGAGACAGGTTAGACAAATAATGGGTCCGAAGAGTCTGGATAAACAATGCTTAAAAACAAGGAAGAAAGGGAAAACAAAACAAGCTATCTGCTCTTCATCAGAAGAAGGCTTGGTGGATCTGAAGCCTAAAAGCACCATGCTAGTCCTGCTGAAAAAAAAACCAACAGACCTCCTGGAAACAAGGAAGACAGAGCAAAACTGGAGACGGAAAACTCTGGGATTGTTACTGTCCCTTCTACTCATGACCTGCCACATTTTAAATGTCTGTGACTGGTTTACCCCTACTTAAAACAGAAGCGACCCTGCACCTCTGCTTGTAAAGTGTACTGAAATTCAGCCACAGAAAGTCCTACCGAGGAGATGAGGATGGCAGAGAAAAAGCAAGTGAGAGGCCTTCCTCCCCCTTCTGTTCTTTTTCACAAAATATCTCAAGAGTTATTTACATACTCGTATCCTGAACTCCCCCTCCAGTTTCACAGTTTGCAGTTAACTGCATTCTGCTGGAGATAACACAAGTTTAGCTTTCAGCATGTTTAGGCTAGAAAATCCTCTGAACGTAACGCCAGGTCACCAAACCCACAGAGGGAAGGAAGTATTTCCAGATGCAGAGACTGGCTAGAAGAGACAGAAATATGAGGCTCCATCTCTCCGCCACCCTGAAGAAATCAACCTACTCAGTGAAGGAGACAACTAAACAGCTTGGCAACGCCTACAACTGGTGCTCAACCTCAGATCCAGTGAAAAGATGTAAATATTTAGATTTCAATTTCATCTGATA